TTCATCTAACCCCAACCCGAAAACAAAACTTAAGTGAAGAAATTCCCTTTAATGCTGATTTCTCTTTCTAAAGTGTTGTGAAATACTGTAGAGCCTACATAAATTAGAAGGTATGTCCACGTTTTGCTTCTACTACAAATTTCCATAAAGCATGGTAAGTATCTCATGGCAGTGAGGTGATAAGCGCAGTTATGCCTACTGAGCATTCAAATAACCTTCATAAAGTATCGGTGTGTGTGTGTCCACAAGCAAATTTGAAGTTGAAAATACTGCACTAACGCATCATAAACCATTCAAACTCATGTCACTCAAATGTATCTCTGAAAATATGATGGTTACCCATGTTTTTCAGGCAAAGTCCTCTGTGCCGGCCAAGAACCAAGGCTTTAAGTCTCTCCTCTTAAGGATCTCTTGTATCTGGCCTTTGAAATATGTGGTAAGGACAAGTAGACACTTTGGAAAGTGGTTGTGTTTTTGTAAAGGTGAAAGATGTAAAGCCCAACAACCCCTTTTGGATAGGATATTGAAGGGTCAGGCAGTTCAAAATTTAAATGTGGTCTGTTTTGGTTTTAGTCTTTCCACCTCAATACTTGGTCTGATGCCCATATAGACAGGAAGTGATGATGACATGGCAATTTTAAAGATAAAATCTAACCCTCCTTTCTTCATCAATACCAATATTTATCAGTCTTTCTTGGGGAAGTACTTCACCCCCCTTCCCCAAGCCTTTCGCTCCTAAACGGTCAGTGATTTGAGTTGACAGGGTTTGAACTCTTCCACTTAAGTCTGGAGGTGGGCTTTAAGTTTGTATTGAACAGACTTCCTGAAATTATATGTATGGGTTTTTACTATGCATGCACCTTGGCACCTCAGCTACACTTAAACAACCCTTTGGATCTAGGTCTGCTTTAAATGTTGGTGCATTTTGCTTTGTGATACTGTATGGCTGCTATGACCTTTCTGTCTTCTCAGTTTGCAATACTTAAAAAGATTGCATCCTTTGCTGGCTTCACTGGAGAGGTGGAGACCGTAGGGATTGCTGATCAGATGTCTCCCAGAAGACGCTTCTTGAGTGGCAGGAAGAGGATTGGGCGCTTGGCTAGACTTATCCTTTTCATCACTCCATACAGACTACAGTGTGCCTTGGGGTATCATTCTGCTGATAGTATAGGGAAGACTGAAGGCTGTGATGGTAAGAAACTTATGACCAAGGGTGTGGATTTAAAAATATGAAAGGGTGCAAATGGAAGTCTTTCCTTTAGAGATTAGAAAGTCTCCTCTAAAGCCCTCTGGGAAAGGCAACAAACGGAAACAAGATGACTTGGAGGTTGAAGAAGAGTATCACAGCTGGGTAACATTCATGACTGAAGACCTTCCTGAGGAGGATCAAGATGATGACCCTACATATGAGGTAAATTTAAATGCAAGCATGCTACATTCTGTTTAAAGGACATTGGTCATGATGATGCCATTGTTATAGCCTATTGAAAATACTATGTATATACTGTAATGCCAATGCTTTCACTTCAAGATTGGAGTCGTGGAATCCTAAGTACAGATGAGAGGCATCCAGGCAAATGCTATTTTTAAGTTTACAGTACAACAATTACAGCAGATCATATGCCTCATGATGGGTATATTGTAAATGGTGTTTGTTTACATTAAAGCATATATTTTTCGATTGTCCCAAAGCCCAGTAAGTCTGAGACAGACAGTGAAGAAAATAGATCAAAGAATGACACTGAAAGTGACTTGGAAGTAGAAGAGAAGGATGGAGTTTTGATGCTGAAGGAATCCTCACAAGTGAGTAGCACAATTGTCAAATTTTAGACTTCCAGAGTTGTTTAGCGTCTTTGACACTGACATAGCCTTAAAGCATACCTGTTGGTATGTTTCCACAGCCCTATATGTTGACAGCATTTTTCTCATCTTGATATTTCATCATGAATGTTCTAGTATCAATCACTAATTGGGTGCTATCTGCAATTTACCTCACTAAAACTTATGGTTATTAACCACACTGAGCCTAGACTTATTTTAAAAGTGAGGGCTCTCATGATAAATACCTCAGATTGATAAAATGTGCATGTGCATATAACTGATTTTGTGCAGCAGTACCTCACATGAATTGAAAAAAAGTTATATAATTGTAAAAAAAAAAAAAAAAATCAGGGAAGATTCTATGTGAACAGTTGCAGGGTTCAAAATGTTCTATAAATGCAACCTGAAATGACCTCAAATACTTCTCATGACCAGTCTATAGTGGAAGGACAGTTGGCATACTGATTGTGCTATTGAGCACAGATTATAAGTCAACTTTCCTTTTAGTGCACCATATGAGTAATATTGTGGTTTAAACAATTTGCTTGTTTGCTGGCAACGTGAGTTCAATTTAAACACTACACACGTGTACCTTCAGGTTTAGGGTATTCTGGAGCCCACAAACTGAAGGATTTCTGCAAATGGAAAAATATGCAGACAGGCCTATTTAAGATCTCGCATTAGCTAGAGAAAGTTCTCATTTTGCAGGGTTTTCGTGGTAGAATTGCTTTATATACTATGAGCCACTAGGCTGGAACAGTTCTGCCCATGGGTTGGTGTTCTGATTCCAGAAAGGCTGTGATATTTAAATAGTAAAACATGGAATTAATCATCTTTAAGAGGCTATTGCTGAACTGTCTGTAGTTCAGGCAGGTAAGCCATAAACATTGAATTTTCAGAATCACTCCGAGTTCCCAGGTCCTAAATGGCAATATTTAGGCATTCTACAGGGTCGGGAAGATACCTAATGTGGAACTTTTATCTTAAAATAACGGCTAGCAGGAAGGCACTGGCTGCAGAAGAGGCTGTCATATTAAATTATTCAGTGTCCCAGAACCTCTTCAGAATTCAGTAGTGAATCTGTATGACAAATGTTGGTTCCTGCACTAGATTTATGTAAATGTTGAAAGTAGGCACAAGTACCACTATTTCTGGTTCAGGGTTGAATTGAGCCTGGAGTGTCTAGCCTTGCTAAAAAGAGCTTGCAAAGCTCTCCATCTGGCATGCAGGCTTAGGCTGACTTGTACTGTCCTGTGGATGGGCTGAGCTTCATGGGGATGCTGAAGTACTACCTTCCCATCACGTCTGATCTGCTACTGTCTGACAGGCAGATTCCATAGCCAATAGCGGGCTGGCTAATGGCTATGGAATCCATCCAGTGTCAATCCGTAGCAGAGCTGACCTGATGAGATTAAAGCTTGCTTTTTTTTAATTCTATTTTTGAACACTTTAGTGAATGGGTAGGTGTACAAGTACCCCTTCACAAGGGGGACAACATCTGGGTTAGGGCTGCAACAACTAATCGACATAATCGATTATAATCGATTATTGAAAAAGTTGTCAACTTTTTCAATCATTGCTTGATCGGCTTTTGATTAGCTGGTCCTGTTCACAGCCCCACACACCTCCTCCCCACCTCACGCTCGCTGCTGCCAGACCCGCCCGCATCCACGCTCCACACGCCGCACCTCCTCACGCTCACCACCTGCCCACATCCACAATCAGCGCAGAAACGCGGGAAGTAGTAGTAAGGAGGAGCAGGTGTGGGGGGATGACAGCCGCCGACAGATAGGCCCGATCTCAGAAGCAAGTTGCTGGAAGACTGCTCAGGTATGCCTGCACTTTCCCACACATGGTGCTCTATGATGTATTTCTGGGATGGTGGGATTTGTAGTCCTCTATAGCTGACGGTACATTGTGCTGTATATTCTACCATCAGCTATAGAGGACTACAAATCCCACTATGCCAGCAATACATTATACACTGTATAATGTACTAATGCTGGGATTTGTTGTATTCCTATATAGCTGGTGGTATTCTGCATTGCGCTCCTTGCCCGCAGACCCCCACAACCACCGGGTCAGGGTTGTGAGGACGAGGCCCTTGTCCCTATCGGCACGGGGACAAGGTGCTTTTCCAGTGCCGAGGGCATGTGACCTTTCATTTTTTTTAAACTCTTAACTCTTTAAAGGAGAACTATGAGGAGTGCTTTTCACTCACCTAGTTCTAGCCGACCTGTGACAATGAGACTGTCACAGGTCGGCTCAGTAGATCGGGAAGTGAGCGAACACATACCGGCATTTGCTCACTTCTCGATCCTGTCACAGCTCTCTGCAGTGACAGAGGAAGGACTGGATTCCCCCCTCCCTGCTCCGATCCTCCAGTGCTGACTGGCGGAATGGGGGAGGGGGCAGGTACAGCTGGCTCTGCCTCTAGATAGGCAGAGCCAGCTGTCACTCACGCAGCTGGGCGAATCCAGACATAATTGTAGGGATTCGCTTCAGCTCAGACATCGGTATACCGCAAGCTGTAGCTCGCGGTATATTGCAGGGTCTCGGTATACCGCAAGCTGTAGCTCGCGGTATACTGCGTTACCCTAAGGAGAACTATGGGGAAAAGCCCTAACCCCATAGTATTGGAACTTTTCGGCCGTTCGGATAAGAACCGAACATGGGGGTGTTCGGCCCATCACTAATCCTGGGTCCACCAAGTGAGATGGCTGCAGACCAATGTAAAACTACTTCCATGTCACTTATGTGCGGTGTTTCAGTAAGGTTTGTGTCAACATTTTTAGCTTGCAAAAGGAATAGTGTTGTCTGACATTGTAGTGCAAGTACACTACCAACTGTAAATCATTATCTTATTGACGTAAGATCTTTAAAAAGAGGACTAGTGAGTGATTGCCCTGTGCTTCAGATGCAACGTAAAAATCTAGGTAACCTCTTAGACGAAATTTTTTTTTTTTTTTTTTTAAGGACACGCCAGTCAATGAACAAGCTCGGGACACGCCAGTCAATGAGGAACAAGCTCAGGAGGGAGAAAACAATGAAGAGCAAAAAACGTCTTCTGCAGGTCAGAAATCTGAATCTACTAATTTGTGGGTGTGTACTGTGCCCCCCCCCCCCTATTGTTTGGAATTATAACAAATGCACATTTAGTAATGGATCTACAAACATAATTGCATATTGTTTTCCTTTTGTACACCTTGTTTTCCTTCCCATTTTTCTCAGTGGCCATTTTACTTGTATTCAGCTGCCGTATCTCTTTACTTCCTGGAACTTTGGCACATGTGACCATGCACATCTCGGGGGGAGGCCTTTCCCTGAAATCTTAAGATTACAGATGAGTTTTCCCAGGAATGCACTGCTGATACAATGTGCCCAAGCAATGCATCCTGGAAAGGTGCATCACTAATGCCCAAGAGGATCAGGAAGTAGAAAAAAACTTAATTTTTGTACGTTCAACTGTTTAATGAATGTTGGATGACTTCATATCAGAATGCAGAATGAGGTTGTTTTTTTGTTTGCTTTTTTTTTAGTAAAGGGGTGGGTGAAGGTCCACTTTAAGCTGTCTTCCCCAAACACATAGCAGGGCAAGCCACTACCCTACCCCTTGCTCTTCCTTCTCTAAGCTAGTGGATTAACATTTGCTGGAGACTTCTGTCCCTTGTGATCTTGTACTAGACAGGAAGTTTAGGGAAGTGGGAGCTGAGAGTTGGAGCCTGCTGGATGGGAACGTGACTGGTAAAAATGTAAAGAAATACTTTGCTGGGTGTTGTATATTTGAATGGAATTCGTTATTTAAAAAGTTGTTTAAGATTACTTTTTAGACTGAACTGCGGGCAGGAACAATCAATGCTTAAAGCAGAGGTTAGGGGTTTTCTTGCTTCACCCAAGTGTACAAAATGTTTAACATCTTTACACACCAAGAATTGTGCCCGTCCATGGTCCCCCGGGGTAATCTACCTCCGCTGTTTTGAGTCACAGTACTTTGGCCCTATCTAACTATTCTAGGAATCGACACCCTCATGAGGAAGCCGAGATGGCGAAACATGTTGGAGCCTAGCAGACTCATGGATGCTGATTTGCATATGTGGACATTTATAGTTCAGTGGACAACAATCCAGTTTTGGAATGTATCTATGGTTTCAAAGCCTAGAAAACTTGGGTAGGTCCACAATGTACTGTGGATCAAAACATTGGAGGTAGATTGCCCCAGGGTGTCGTGGACTGCACACAGGTGGGCTTGGATGCCCCAGACATCAAGAGGACTGGCATGTCTCCGATGTTCATATTAAAATTCATATATAATATGTAAATTCCTTGTGTAAAAACATTTTTTTGTTTTACCACTAAGGTTCTATGTTAAAAAAAATGTATGTGGTTTTTTTTTTGGTCAATTGTCCTAAAAGCCCTCTTCCCCCTGAGGAATTTTGTACACTTGGGTAAATGAAGAAAACCCTAACCCCTGAAATTTGTGGGGGTTAATTTACTATATGGGGTGTCACTTGTACTCTCCTACAGGGGCGCCCACTATTTTTCGTCTGGAGATCTACTTTTCAAATGACGAGCTCATTGAGATCTACCAACGAAAAAACACCTACATTCAGGGGCGGGAGGGGGCGTAGGCTCCGCAGGCAGGCCCCTCGCCCACAGTGCGATCGCCTGCATTAGTGCCTGTGTTCCAGTCCAGTGCGATCCGCAAAAATGCTGCAAGCACTATTTTTGCAGATCGCACTGGACCGGAATGCAGGCACTAATGTGCCTGCGTTCCGAGTGCGGGCGATCGCACTGTGGGCGATGCCATTGACTTCAATACAGCTCCACACCCCCTCCCGCACCGGAACGCAGGGAGTCGGCCTGCGTGCATTCCAGTACATTACAGGTCCCGCCGTCCTGTCCTCCCGTGTTGCTCGTGTGGCCGACGTTGCACATGGGGGTGTCCTGCACCTTTCCATCTGCAGCGTCTGACACATTCAGCCGGCAGCCGCACGAGCACCACGGGAGCATAGCCGTAGCCAGCTCCCTTTGCGCCTGAGGCAAGGAAAAAAAACAGTTTTTTTAATTTATTTTTTACTATTTTTTTTTTATCCATTTTTATTAAATTTTCATTTTTTTTACTCTTGGGGGGGCTTTGGGGAAATATTATTCCGTCCTCCGCCCTCCCCCGCCGCCGGTTCCTTCTCGGATCCCCGCTGGGGAGAGCAGCGGGGATCCAGAGAAGCGGCGGGAGGAGAGGACATGGCGATCTACCAGTGATCGCTACGCGATCGACCTTGTGGGCACCCCTGCTCTACTAGGAACGCCTACTGTTTTTGCTATTAATGTGCTTAAATGCCTTTTTAGTATAGACCGTACCATAATTATAATATTGGCCTTAATCCCCTTGGAGCTTGGATTAGCTCAAAATGCCCTATAACTGGTGTAACCTTGTTAGCTTGTGTCCCATTTCCCCAGTCTCCTTTCAGAGGGTGGATTCTGGACCGTCTCTGGTTGTTCACCACATTGTAGCCTGCACTTGGATCTATGACCTAGTTGCACTAAATAGGAGGGTGACTAGATCACACCATCTGAACAGCATTGCAAATTTTTATGTGTTCAAATTAAACAGACCAAAGGTGTGAAGCTATCCATATTTTGCTGAATTTTATTTTAAATGGTATGTTTTTAAAATGTGTTGTTTTTTTTTTCCACAGAATGAGTCAGCTGTGTGGAATGTCTCCTAACCTATTCTGATCAGTCATAATTGGCAACCTGTAATTTTGCTACTGTTAATAAATATTTTTTTCAATTAGCATGGCTTTTTTTTCCCCTTTTAAAATGAGCTGTTTGCATGGTGTCATAGAAAACAAGACATGAAGTGCTGCTTTATTTTAATAAAAGCGGAGTCCATGAAAAGTGGTATAAACCGGTCACAAACAGGGTTATTTAGATGCCTATGGAACGTTGTGTAGGAGGTTGGTGACAATTGACACCTGTACTCACCAGCTGGGCACCCTTTTGTGTTAGGATGGCCTAGGGACTTTGGTTGACTGCAGTCAAGCTCCTATCATTTTGGCTCTGATTTGGGAATTGCCCTGTCCCCTGGTGCCTCACCACCTCATAGAAGGGACCCAATTTTAACACTGAGACTGGGGCCCTCTTCCAAGCAGAGTGGATGCCTCAGAATGTAGCCTGGTGCCTCTACAGCAAGCTGTGCTGCATAGAAAAGTACTAATTGTGGGACCTTGGTGAGTTGCAAACCAGGCTGCCTCTCCTTGAAATGTTTACAGACCCATGTCTGTATTTCTGGGCAGCAAACAGCAACAGTTTGCATGTTTAAGATCGTTATGAAAGATGTGACACCCCCCC